GGTGTGGCTGGGGCGGCGTCTGGGGCAGGGCCGGCCCCACGCTGCAGCACCTGGGGCTGGGTCCAGGCTCCTCCCGAGCCCGGGCTGAGCGTGGGAGCTGCGGCCAGGGGCTGGCCCCGAGCCCTGCTCTCCCCTCCGGGGCTGGGGCAGGGTCCCGGCCCATCCACGCCCATGTTGCCGGGAGGAGAGCATCTTCGAATCGTGGACGGCACGGGAGCAAGGCAGGAGAGCGTGAGTGCAGGGGCGCACAGGGCACAGCAGATGCCGAGAGCATCCACGCTCTCCTGCTCTGCCTTTCCCGAAAGCCTCCCTCCAGCAAGCAAAGAGTGCTCGCAGGGGTGCTGTGCTCCAGTTCAAGCCCAGTTTGGGGAGAAAGGGTGAGTGGGCTGGTACTGGAGGTCCTCGCTCTGATGTCCCTGTGCCGTAGGGCTTGAGCTGGGAACTGCTGGGGTTCAGCGGTGCTGCTGCTGCCCCAGGAGGAGGGCGCTGGCAGTGACCCCCCATCTGTGGGCTCTGGCTGCCGGGGTGCAGGGGGGTGGCATGGCCGTGGTGCCGTCTGGGTGCGAGCTGGCTGCTGGCAGCGTCCCCAGGCTCCTCCGCTCCTCCCCGTGCACGGCCAGGCCAGGCAGCGCTAGTGCAACGGGGCTGCTGCTGCTCCGCCTCGCAGGGGCCATGGCCACAGCCACCGCCCAGGAGGGCTCGGCCGCATCCTGCACAGGGAGACACCGAGGAGCTGGTGCTGTGCTTGGAGAGGTCGCACAGGGCTCGCTCCTGGCGGCTTTCTGCAAGAGGAACGGGCAGGGATTGCAGGCAGGGGTTGCAGGCAGGAGGAGAGGGCTCAGCTTGTCGGCACCAGGAACCGTCTTGAATGTGGGGAGCTCTGTGCTTGCCGGGGCTCACCCCGCGCCACACTTGGCCGTGAGGGACCAGCGTGGGTCCCTGCAACTGCCCTTCATGCGAACGCAGCCACCACCAAGGGTCCCCTGGGATGTCCCAGCGCTCGTCCCTGCGCTCCGGGGCTTGGGGAGAGCCTCCTCCAGCAGGAACCATGGCGCCCTGGCCGGCGGCCCTGGCGGAGCCGGGGCCAGGCTGCCCTTTGAGTGGGTCCTGCCGTGCGCGTGTCCATCCGTGAGTGTTCCCACCGCGCCGTGCCGGGCGCCATCCATCTCCCCTGCCTGCATGCGTGTGGTGTGCTGTCCCCCGGCAGCATCTGCGCCTTGGTTTTGGGGTTGAAATAAAGCACTGAGTATTTTTGTGAGCTCTCGGCAAACTCTATGCTACTTCCACCCAGCCCGGCCAGCGGGTCCCATCCCTTCCCAGGACCCCAGGCCAGCGTGCGGTCTGGGCTGGGGTGCAGGACGTGGACCCCGGGTGCTGGGGCTGGGCTGTGGGATGCAGATCCCGGGTGTTGAAGCTGGGGTGCAGAACATGGACCCTGGGGCTGGGGTGCAGACGTGGATCTCTGGGGCGTGGGATGTGGATCCTGGGTGCTGGGGCTGGGGTGCAGGACCTGGACCCCGGGTGCTGGGCGAGGCCTGGGGCAGGCTCGGCGGGGCTGGAGGAGGCTGGGAGCCGGGCTGGAGGCCAAGTGCTCCTGGGCTAAGCCCACCCCGCAGCTGGCGGCTCCGCCCCCCACCCCGCCCCCGGGGGCGCCCGATCGGCCTGCGGATGTGGCG